CTGGACACACCACCTTTGCTCTCTCTGTACACCATTTCCCAGGCGTGTGCACGTTCCCTCCTAATAAACTCCTAAGTGGGTTTTGTTCGCGTCCCGTGTTTTCTTTTCACCTGCATCTGATCATTTCACCCCCATCTTTCACCCAGGGCTCGGCACAGTGACGCTGCCTTTATTCCCAGCACTTAGAAAGCCAAGAGTGCATGTGAGATCACAGCCAGCCCAGTCTACAGCTGACTCGAGATAAGCCTCAGCTACAGTGAAGGACTCTGTGCCCAGAAGTAATTAGGAAAGCAATGCACAGCAGACTGAAGACCTTCATTTAAAACCTGAGGCTGCTCCAGGAAAACACATCTCTTTAAGATGTTTAGTGTAGGGGCTGGAGAGATAGCTCAGTGCTTAAGAGCACTGACTGCTCTTCCAGAGGTCTTGAGTTCAATTCCCAGCAACCACATGGTGGCTCACAGCCATCTATAATGAGACCTGGCGCCCCCTTCTGGCATGCGGGCACACATGGAAGGAATACTGTATAAATAAATAAATCTTAAAAGAAAAAGATGTTTAGTGTATGGAAGAACTTTCTAAACATTATTCCAGAAACACAAAAAACAGCCTTGATAACAAATGGCAGGAACTACATGAAACTAAATTTTCTTTATATCAAAAGACATCAACAGCCCACAAAATGGGAGAAAATCTTTACCAAGTATACTCAGAAGGCTAATATCTAGAACTTAAAAACAACTAAGACAAATTAAAAGCAATTCTGACAAACGAATGGGCTAATACAATGAGTTCTCTAAAGCAGAAACACATGTCCCCCAAGTATTTTTTTGTAAAACGTTCAGGTGGGAAGTGTTGATGCACACCTTTAATCCCACCACCTAGGAGGCAGAGGCTGGTGGATCTGAGTTCCAGACCAGCCTAGTCTACAGAGTTCCAGGATAGTCAGTGTTGTTCCCTTGCAACACTACAACTCCCAACATCCCTCTGGACTCCAGCGCACGCAAGCGTGGGACACATTTCCCAGAAGCCTTTGCATCCCCCGTTAAAAGCAAAGACAAGCCACGAGTTCGTCCCTTCTTGTCCCTTCCCTTTGTCCCTTCCTTTCACTTTTCCTAGTGTGTTTTCCCCTCCCATTAAAAAGTGTACCACGTGGTACCACCGCGTGTCTGTGTCTTTTCTAGCGTAACCCTCGTCTAACCCGCAGGAATTAAGAACAACATTTTGGTGCCGCATCGACCCGGAGACCTCTCCGTCCGGTGCCCGAGGCTTTGCTTCTGGGTTTCACCGACAAGGTCTAGAGAACCGACAGCCTTCGCTCACCACCACCTGTTCCCACGGCCATTTCCACCACTTCATCCTGATCCGTGAGTTACCCCGGGTTCACTTCCTTCCCCCTGGGGCGTTCAAAGACTGTCCGGCCGGCTTTCTTTGCGCACCTCGGGCTAGGGCTAGGTTGCTAACCCACCTCCCCCGGTTTTTTGCCCTCTGCCGAAACGCTCAGTCCGCGCACCCGGAGTTCGGTGCTCCGGACTTTTTCTCTTTTTTCTTCCTTTTTTTCTAACTTTTTTCCTGTCTGCTTTCGGGCCGCTCCTTGTGGCACCTCCGGGCCCTGTGCCCTAAAAAGCTTAATCGCCTCCTCTCAGCTGGGACTTTCTCTCCCGTACGGTCGGGGCAGTTAAGAGTTACCACGCCCCAAGAACGCCCGGGACGCCAGCGCTCTTGGCTTGCCGTGTCCGCGGTAATTGTCTCCTCCCAGCCGGGGCCGGGGCTTTTCCTCCCCCCGTACGGTAGCTGGGTTCGGGCCAGTTACCTTTTGCGGACAGACTTCGTTTCAGTCATGGGCTCTGTAACCAACCCCCTCATCTGAAGGCTGGTGCAATGCCATCCCTCCGGGGACCCTCTGCTCCCGCCGCCGCTATGGATCCCGCGGACAAACCTCAACCCCCCTGCCTCCACACCCCCCCCACCGCGCCTCGGGGGGGCCACTCGCTCTCGTTCCGCCCAGTTGAGCGACAGCGACGGCCCACCCATTACCGTTCCTTCTCCGGGCCAACCTCGCCCCACTTCTCCCGCAACAGGTCGTGCGTGTCTTCTGATTCTTCCCTGTCTCCTCTCCGCCACAGGCCACACAGGCAGCTTGGAGCGTCTCCTCCCTGTCCTACGCCTCCCCCTCGATCTTCCAAGGCCCCTCTAGGCTCCCGCTGTCACTAACCACCACTCTCCCTTTGTTACACCTAAGGATATCAGGCTCCTAAAAGCTACAACAGCCTCCTGTCAGATCTGCCAAAAGTCAGATCCCAGGACCAAATATTCACTTAACCGTTTGTCTCCACAGCTCAAGATAATCCTTCATACACGGTGACTCAAACCAGACCCTGTACTCTTAAGTTCCAAAGGACGCCGGATTCAGTTCCCCCTACTACAGTCTAAGGACAACAATGGTCCCGATCCGTCGCTGTGTTAACACACCCTCCCTTCTTTAAATTCATAAATAACCGTCTAGCTGTCGTTACAGGTACCCCCATCAAATACGAAGGCAAGTGGTAAGCAGATTCTCCTCTACAAAGCTCTTTTACGTAACAGGCCAGCCGCTGACTGCAGCAGTGGCCCCTGAAATGTTAAGAGATGTATGGTTAGAATCTATTTCTTTTAAGACAGTTTCCTTAAGCTCTGGGATGCCAGCCCAACGGATCAAACACAAAGGAATAAGTATCACTTAATTTTTTTATCATTTCTTAACCCCGGACATCCTAAGACCCTCTCCCCCCCCCCTTCACCCCAGCTCCCCAAAAATCCCCCCCCCTTCTTTTATTTTTTTTTCTTTTACTAATGCAACTTTTGCCTTCCAGCATCTTAATGATGACCCAGCTACTCAGGAAAAGCCACACAGATTTCTTCAATCAGCCGCCTCAGACGACAGCCAGGACTTCGAACATCAGTGACCGACTACACCAGCCAGCAACCCGGACATCAGTGACCAACTACACCAGCGACCACAAACGCCAATGGGACATTGCCAAGATAATCGGACATTCCCTGGACCCCTCAACGCCCAAAGCCAGCAGGAAGCAGCCATGAGAGACTGGACTACACCCCCATTCCCTACCCTTTAAGGTCCCCCAATTTTTTTTTAATCAAACCAAAAGGGTGAAATGTTGTTCCCTTGCAACACTACAACTCCCAACATCCCTCTGGATTCCAGCGCACGCAAGCGCGGGACACATTTCCCAGAAGCCTTTGCATCCCCCGTTAAAAGCAAAGACAAGCCACGAGTTCGTCCCTTCTTGTCCCTTCCCTTTGTCCCTTCCTTTCACTTTTCCTAGTGTGTTTTCCCCTCCCATTAAAAAGTGTACCACGTGGTACCGCCGCGTGTCTGTGTCTTTTCTAGCGTAACCCTCGTCTAACCCGCAGGAATTAAGAACAACAGTCAGAGCTACAGAGAAGCCTGTGCACGTGTCTACGGGGGGGGGGGGGGATCATTATCCTAGCCACATCCATTATGGAAATCATGGAGGTATTTCAAAAAATTAAAACCAGATCTACCACCACCCAGCTCTACCACTCCTGGGTCTAGACCTAAAGGGCTCCATACACAGGAAACAGACATTTGCACATCGGTGTTTCTGCTTCCAAAGTATCAAGGACATGTAACCAATCTAGTTGTCTATCAACAGTGAACAGATAACAAAAATGTGATAATATACACACATCAGAACACACTTTAGTTTTGAATAAAAAGAAAATAAAATTTGCAAAAAACTGGGCATAAAAGAAGAAAATCTTCCCATTTTCCCTCATGTAGAGATCCCAACCTATAATGTGTGAAGGGGAAGCCCCAGCCAATCACCTTGTTTGTAGGTCGGGTACCCCTTATGCCAATATTTACCTATAATCTGGCAGGTCTGCTCCCCACCTTTCCTTTCTTTGCTGCTCTTCGCTGGAACCCTGGCTTTGTAAGCTCCCCCCCTTTTTTCCCCTTATTAAAGCGGAATATTTTAAATTAAAACTAGTCTGATTAATTCTATTTGCCGGTTGTTTACGCCCCTTCAAATATGACATAAGCAAACCGGTGCGGTCTTAAAAGTCAGTAATAACCAGTGGTGAGGACAGACAGATGGGACAAAAGGACAAGGGAGCGGAAAGGAGTTTGAAGGATAGGGCCACACAAGATCAGGTCTCTAGGGCCTACCCCTCCTCAACAGTTTTCAGTGGGCTTCATTTCACTGGCAGACAGGGGTATTAAGCCCAATATCCACAATACTGGAGCAACTGCTGGCCAAAGAGGGAAAGCCTGAAGCAGGTGGGTCCAGCAGGGTGCACTGAGAGTAAAATCAGCATATCCAACAGGGGACGTTGGAGGGCCTTCTGCCAAGTCTCTAAGGTGTCACAGAATCAGACTGCAGAAATGGCACGAATGTGTAAATGGCAGCCGACATTTAAATAAAGACACCACGTGCACATAAATGGTGCTTCCAGCAACCACAAGGCTGTTGAATAAAAACTCCAATGGCAGGGGTGGTCTACCTTCCTAGCTGTTGCTTGCCAGAGAGATGGATCCCAGAGGTTCCCACACTAGACCTGGTGTGTAGCTGAGAGAAGTGGTTATCTACCCATTGCTAACGACAACACAGCCTGGATCGCTTTCGGAGGAAGGCTCCACAATTGTCTGCTCCTGGTTTGTTACAGCAGCCCAATGGCTCAGTTCTCAGGGGAAATAGTATCTCTAAGGCTCAGGGACGAGAAAAGAAGAAGATGCATGAAAGCGCCAAGAGCTGGGGGGGGGGGGGGACTGGGTTCAGGGCTGATGCCCTAACCTGTCCTTACTGTGGAGGAGCAGCAGCTGCCAGAGGACCAACTAGAGACCCAGGGTCAGAGGAGGCATCAGCACAGAATGTCAAGCCACCTAGGTAGGTGAGAGCTGTTGCTATGCCCTCCAGGTAGCCAGGACCTGGTCCTATACTCAAGTCGCCTGGCTGGGGGGGGGGGTGTACCTCCTCTTCTCACCTCGGGCACTAGTCCTCATAAATCAGTACCACTGAGTCAGAACAGCTACCCAAGTCACAGGAGAACTGGAGTCATTCTTTAGGCTGCGGCACCATTACAGTTTGAAGACAATGTTTACATGAATTCATACACCAACATATACACAGTGATACAGCAGGTATTTGTAAACACTAGACCTCTTCACGGCAAGAGCAAAGGTCAGTCTACCCTCACGGGATGTCAATCACATGCTGTCCATTACAGAACTTTAAAAGGCAGCTTTGGTTTTTGTGAATAAAATAAAATAAAAACACCTTCAATGGCAGGGGGCCATTATCCTGGGCTGGTCTCCAGTACCTGGTTCCTATATAACAAACTGGAACCTGCTTTGGTACACGAACAAACCAAACTCTAATTTGGAAGTGGGAATTTTGTAACCAATACCCTGATTTTAGCATGAATGAGCGTCAATGAGTCCCAGACCTCACAGTTCAGACCATACCAACTTGGGCAAATATCTGCATGTAGCCAACCCAGTGATTTCTTCCATATTTCCCTTCTCAGTTTCCAAGGGCACGACCCTCCCTGCAGTCTGAACACTTTCTATGTACAACACCCCCAAATTTGTGAATTTTCCTTTTTGACAGTTAAGGCGCCATAGGGACCTTGAAGCCCAGGACCCCGGGGGCCGCCCTCCCCACAGGTCGCAGGTGTGGCTCCTGCCTCTCTCCGTCCTTCTACCTCACTGCTTCTTCTTTTTACTTGCCGGACTGTCTAGCACTTCAATATTGCCTCTGCCACCTTCTGCACTCGGAAGCTTTATGTTGTCCACAGTGACTTCGGAGGGGGTGCAGTCTTCATCTTCGTACTCTGAGCTGTCCGCAGAGCTGTCAGGGGAGCTCTCTTCGGAGCTGTCCTCTTCCTTTGAATCTGACCGATTAATCTCGAATAAGGCCACATCCTGCAGAAAGTGTCAGGTTGAGAACTCTACTTCAGGGCAGTTCTGTAACATTTTCTAATAAAGTGGCAGGGTTGGCTCAGTGGATCAGGGTGCTTACTGATCTTCCAGAGGACCCAGGCCAGGTCCCAGCACCCATTACCAAGCTTCAGAAAATCTAACCCTTTCTTCTAGTTCTTCTGACCCTCACAGCCACGCACATTGGTAACAGACACACACACTGACATGCACACAAAAAATAGTAATTCTTAAATAAAAGCAGAAGAAATTACTAATATTTATTATAGATTCTTGAGCATGGGTTGGGCTGTGAGCTTAACACGAACACCTGGTAAACGCTTTCGGTGGCCAGAAGACATCAGAGCAAAGTCAGGGTCGGTTTGAAGGGTTTATTTTACTTATGTTGTTAAAAAGGCTCCTCCTGGCGGGAGAGATGGCTCAGCGCTTGAATGCACGAGCTGCTTTTTCAGAGGACCTGGGTTCAATTCCCAGCAACCATATGGCTCACAACTGTCTTTAACCCCAGGGGATATCACACCCTCATACAGACATGCCGGGGAGACACCAATGCACATGGAAAAAGAAGTCCCTCCTGCCTAGTACACACCCAACACCATTCTCAATAAAAATGGACTAGAGCAGTGGGCCTTAGCCTTCCTAATGCTGTGACCTTTAATACAGTTCCTCGTGCTGTAGTGACCCCCAGCCATAAAACTATTTCATTTCTACTCCATAACTTTAGTTATGCTATTGTTAGAATCATAATGTAGGGGCTGGAAAAATGACTCAGAGTTTAATGTAACTGGCTGCTTATAGGTTCTGAGTTCCAGTCCCTCACAATTACCTATAATGGGGAGGGGTCACAACGTAAGTGTCTGTGTTTTCTGATGACCTTAAGCAGGTGGAGGCCCACAGATTGAGAACCACCAGGCATCCCATCAAACACCTCAGACTTAACAAGAGATAGGAACATTGGCCATGGTAACACAGCTACAATCCCAACCTCTAACCCCAGCAATGGGGAGATTGACAGAACAGTTTGAGGCCAACCTAGGCCTCAGGTAAGGCCTGGACACCCAACTCCACTCCCTCAAGAACACCCTACAGCTCCTGCATTAATTAATGAGATTTACATTTCTGAGCAAGGACCAGCAAATTATACCCAGCAGGCTGGATCCCACCTGCTCCCTGGTTCTGTCCAGCTCCTGAACTAAAAATGGTTCCTATGCCCCCAGAAAGTGGCTGAAAAGGGGTAAAATTTAAATACTGAATGAAATACAAAATTGTAGCCTACTGCAAGCTTCTGCCACCAGAGAGCCCCAGGCACAACTTCCTACCATGAAAAAAAAACACTCCCCTTGAACTTCGAGTCAAATGCATAGCCTCTTGCCTTAAAAAGGCTTTAGTGGCCATAACATACAATGTCCCGCTTTCTTGTTAATGTCAACAGCTGTGCCCGGCACTGAACAGCACGTGAAACAGGGCAACAGAGACAGCACAGCCTATGAGAAATGTTCGACAATTTAAAAACCACATTTTACTTTAGAGTAAAATTTCCCATTATCTTCCCCCATTTCGTGGCAAGTACACTAATCCCATCACGTGAGTCAACAGGGCAGTTACCATCTGTACGATGTTCCCGGATGTCCCCTCGGTGTTTTCAATATCGAAGCGATCCGCTGGAGCAACCGCCATTTCCTTCCGAAGCTTTTCATTGGCCTGGGCCAGCTGTGGGAGGAACGCCTGCACTTGGTCTAACACTAGAGAGCAAACACAGAATGCAGCCATGTTAGTCATGTCCAGACTCCACAACTCCTGGTGAACACTCCGGAGGAGCGCAGCAATGAACCCATCAACAACTCAGGCCCAGCTTCTGAGCTGCCTCGTGTGGGAGGGTCAGAGGGGTCAGCTCAGATGGCTGGGGACTGAACCAGGGCCTTGCTTTTGCCAGGCCAAGGGCTCTACAGTCCCAGCCCCTCTTTGGGACTCCCAAAGCAACAAGCCCGCACGACTCAGCAATTATTATTCAAATGTTCTGTTTCTCTTTCACCCTGAAATTATAAAATTCTAGAAGGTTGGCATTCCACGAAGGGACTGAGAAAACAGGCAGAATGACCTAATGGATCTAAGAGCGCCTGATCCTTACAGTAAGGCTTACAGGGAGTTCAGGGCCAACCTGAGCAACATAGACCCTGAGTCAGAGAATTCTGCCAGGCGGTGGTGCTGCACACCTGTAATCCCTGCACTCAGGAGGCAGAGGCACAACGATCTCAAGTTCAAGACGAGCCTGGTCTACAGACTGAGTTCCAGACCAGGCTGGGATTAAAGGTGTGCTCCACCACCACCCGGTTTACTTATCTTAAGAGCCTTATGTCATTTAAGAAAATGTTTTATTTTAGGAGGGAATGCTTCAGTTCTGAGGACACTTCTGTAACACAGGCTACACAGGGGCTACACAAGCTGCATCAAAGCAAAGCCGTTAACAATAGTGTTCCCCAGAACCGTATTTAATATTCCAGATCATGTGAACGGTAAGTGCTTTTCCAAACAAGTGAGTCTTGAGTACTGTTCAAGCTGGTCTCCAACATGCTACCATTCTCCTGCCTCAGCCTTCCCACTGCATCGCAGCCAGCAACAGTACTTTCAGTTTCAAAAAGGAAAAAGAAATGTATTTTGAAAAAATCTTCAGGCAGATTACGATGAGAAATTTTACTCCTTAGACAAGGATTTACACAATACAAGACTTGCGGTGTCTGACTCTGTGGTCTGATATGAGCCACGACGTCCAATCCCATCAAATGTGAGTTAATTGGCCTAAACTGGGGGAGCGCCCCCTAGAGTGGAAAGGCTGTACTTACAAGGGCTCCTCTGCATCCGAACTGTTTGAACAGTAGAGGTCTTCCTGGGCTGGGGCTTAGAGCTGATGAGCAACTGGTCCCAGATACCTGAAAATACATACAATTGACACCATGAATGCAGCCAAGCCAGGAGTGCCACTCAGCCACGGATGAAGAATGAGAGGGGACCATCAGTAACAGCTCCTGGGACTGTCTTCAACCTGGACCATTCCAAACCCGGGGGTAGAAAGGACAAACACTCTACAACATTGTGATTCTTTATGTACAAACCAATTGTCCATCCCATACACTGACCGCTCAAGCCTTTTCACGCACAGAAATATCTCTTTACTTTCTAAATCAAAAATCCCGTCACTCTCAATGGAGAGATGACCCGGGAGACTTAGAATGTTCCTTAAAGCCTAGTGCTTTGATTAGTGTTACGTTCGGAGCAAAGCCAGAGCTTGGGGCCAATATCTAGCTTTGCTGTTCCCAGCCAGTGACTACCACCATGCCGGTTTTTTCCTACATAAAATGGGGTCCTCAGGATACTTCCGCAGGCGTCGGGGATGCGGGGAGGCTTGAGCTGGTTAATTTCTGACACTACCACTCACTACACAAGCTTTGGCAATCAGGAGTGCAACTCCCTCAGATACACTTCGTTCTCAAAAGGTTCCCAAGATACTTAATACGCAGACACAAGAACTTTTATTTGTTCGTTAAAATTCTACGGCTAGCCCCACCTGTTTAAAAGAAAATGTGAAAACGGAGGCCTAAAGAAGGCTACTTTTATAAAAAGTCCCACTGCGGAGTAGGGATTTGAACCTACAATTTCCATTCTGTCTCCCTCCGCCCGCCTCTGGCTCCCAAATGCTGGATTTAGGTGTGAGCCCCCACGCCTGGCTGAACCCATGCTTTTCTCTTCTGTACCACACTATCTGAAATGCTGAGTGCATTTCCCGCACACGCGTCTCCCTCCACCAAGGTGACAATGAGGAGGGTGCGCCTAAGACAAATATTAAAAATGGTACCTACCATCCTGGCCAAGCTATCCCAGGTCCTCCCTGTAGCATTCCCTAAAAACTGCCCGGCCTGTATCACCGACAACCCCCCCCCCCCCCGCGACCCCTAACAGTGTTCCGGTCTCCTCGGAACACTCCCCCCGCCCCCGGACCAAGTGTCCCCGCCCCCGGAGCATCTCTGACTCCTCAGCATCCCCGCCCCCCAACATCCAGGGCTCTACAGTATCCCCGCCTACCCGCGACCCGGGAGCGCCCCGTGCTCCTCAGCACGCCCTTCCGCCCCCCATCAACGCCCCAGGCTTCTCAGTATCCAGGGCTCCGCAACAACTCCGGCCCCATAGCGTCCCGGGCTCCTAGGCATCCCTGGCCGCGGAACCCCGGGCTCCACAGTACCACGGCCTCCGGAGCGTCCCGGGCTCCTAGGCATCCCCGCCTCCCCGCGCCCCGGAGCATTCCGGTCCCCCGAAGCACCCCGGTCTCCCAGGCATCCCCGGCCCCGCAGTACCACGGCCTCCGGAGCGTCCCGGGCTCTGCAGCATCCCAGCCTCCCAAAACATTCCCGGTCCCCCAGAGCGCCCCGGTCCCACAGCGTCCCAGGCTCCTAGGCATCCCCGGGCCCGGAGTGCCCCGGCCTCTTAGGCATCCCTGGCCCCGGAGCCCCGGGCTCCACAGTACCCCGCCCTCCGGAGCATCCCGGGCTCCGCAGCATCCCCGCCTCCCGAAGCATTTCTGATCCCCCGGAGCGCCCCGGTGTCCTAGGCATCCCTGGCCCCGCAGCCCTGGGCGCCACAGTACCCCCGCCCTCCGGAGCGTCCCGGGCCCCGCCAGCACAGAGGTCCCTCCGCCGCCGCTCACCTCGCGAACCCGAGCTCCCCGCGGTCAGCAGCTCCCTGGACACCGTGACCTGTGAGCGATCCCCAGAAGACGACGAACCTGCGGGAGCAGAGACGCGCTCACCTTGCAGCTCCAGCTTGCAAGACAGCACGAGAGAAAAAAACCCGGATGGAGAAAGGCGCGGGTCGAGGGGCGGGGGCGGGAGGCGGGGCCAAGGGGGCAATTGGCGGAAACCGGGAGTTGGGCGGGGACAGTGGGAGGAGCGGGGCGAGACCTCGTGCAGGAGGCGGGGCTGAAGCGTGGGCAGCTGGGGACCGGAAGCGGGGTGGGGCGAGACAGCGTGGGCGGAGCGCCGGGGAAGCACGCGTGGGGCCTGATCCGCCCCCGCCGAGGGTTGGGCAAAAACAATCTTGTTGTTGTTGGTAAAGATTCAGCCGCATTCGCACTCGGTTTAGCCCAAAGAGGCCTTTGTCTTTCTATTTTTGTTGTTGTTTGGGGAGGAGGTTTCTGTGGTCTTGAGTTTGCAGAAATCCCGCTTTAGTCTCCAAAGGCCAGAATTATAGGTGGGAGACACCACGCCCAGCTTCTCTATCCTGTTCTTAAACTATATATAATTTTGTCATCCTGGCCTAGGTTGATCTCAGACTAATCATTTTCCCACTTCAGTTCCTGTGTACTTAAATCTACCAGCGCTAATCATCATACTTGGTTTCAATTACTTGTAAAATAAAATCTTGCCAAGTTACTCAGGTTGGTCTGGTAATTAAGGTCCCCCTATGTCACTCAGCGTCCTAAATAGTTTAGATTACAGACCTGGACTAGCGGACCCAGCTAAATTTACTATAGAATTGCAAACATGAAGTTCAGCATCTCGAGTACAGTTTTTACATTTGCCATGCGACAAGCCTTTTGAGCATTTTCTGTCTGGACGTCCTACAAGATTGTTCCAGGTGATAGTTAAATGGTAAAATATGAAGGGGACCCTGAGGTTGGTCTCCAGCACCAAAACAATTTTTAAGAAAGCTGAAACTGGTGGTGCCTGCCTTTAATCTCAGCACTCCTGAGGCAGAAGCAGGTAGATTTCTGTGAGTTCGAAGCCAGCCTGGTCTAAAGAGCAAGTTCCAGGGCCACACAGAGAAACCCTGTCTCAAAAAATCAAAAGAAAAAAAGGAAAGAAACTGAAACTTGACCCATTGAACACCAAACCTGCATTCCTCCTTTCTTCCCGCCCCTGGCACCCATTTTCTATGTCTCTTTTCATAGAAACAGAATCGTAAGCCACTTGTTTTTGTGACTACTTTATTTCACTGAAAATAATGCCTTCAAGGTTTACCAGAAAGGATTCCTTTCTATTTTGATGCTGAATAATATGTCATTGGATTACGTGCCACATCTGCTTTTGTGGAGGAAGGGATTTGTTTGGGAGAACAGGGTCTCACTATATAGCCCAAGCTCTGTAGTTGAACTCCAGGCTATCCTCAAACATTCCCAAAGTGTTGAGATTACAGACAGGCTTTGTACCAGGACTAGTTCAACAGCACGTTTTCTTTGATCTTAGATACTTGAGTTCCTTCCACCTCGTGGCTGCTGTGAACAAGGAGCTGCTGCAAATGTTGCTTCAACCTAAGAATAGTAACACAAACCTTTAGTCCCAGTACTCAGAAGGCTAGGAGGCCAGTGGTTCTTTGTGAGTTCAAGGCCAGCCTGGTCCACAGAGCAAGACATAAACCTGTAAGAACTACACAGTCAATCTATATTTCAAAACAACTTTGTGTGTTTGGGGGTCGGGGACCACATGCCATGACATGGGTGTGGAAGCCTGGACAACTTTAGGGAGTCAGTTCTTTCCTTCCACTTTGCTGATTCTATGAATCAAAAAATTATAACTGCAGACAACTTTACCTGATGAGCTATCAGTCAGCCCAGATAACACAAAATATGGTCCAAGGGCTTGAATACATATTTCTTCTTTTTTGAAAGTGCATGAGCTTTTTTCGTTGGACACATCTTTCATTTGAAGTACCCTTCAGTGACATCTTTAGCCTGAGGTTATTTGCTACAGTCCTTTGTCACTCCAGAACTGCAACCAGTCCCTTGAACATTCGTCCTTGACCACATCTGAGCTCACACACACCATACACACAGACACATGCAAGTCCAGGACTATCTCCAAGCTGACTGAGGGACTGGAGACTATGTTATAGTCCCTAAAAGGAGCACACACAGGACAGGCTTCTAAGTGGGCTGTGGTGGCAGCTGCCTGACTGTGCTGCAGCAGAAGAGGCAGCAAGTGAGGCGGAGCCGTCTGCCAAGAACTGCACCAGGAAAGTCACGGCCATTCCCCTGCACCAGGAAAGTCGCGGCCACTCCCCTGCACAGCGACCTGTGATCCAGCTGGGAAGTGGAAAGGGGCAGGAGGAGCCAGGACTCTAGACCGAGCTGGCCTCAGACTTGTGTCAGCTCCCTGCTTCTGCCTCCTGGTTGCTGGGATTCCTGGCTCTTGCCACCAAGTAACGCAGGCTGGCCTCAAACTCACCCTGTAGCCAAAGATGTCCTGATACTCCTGTCTCTCCTCATCACAGCTGGTTTGTGTAGTTCTGGGGATCAAACAAATGCCTCGTGTGTGCGTGCTAGGCACATACTCTGTCAATTAAGCTACATCCCCAAACACTGCATTTTTTTTAAGTCAAAACTATTGTAGTTATTTCCATACCTTTAAATTTTTTCTCCTGGGTTAAGTTTCTAGGATCTTGTCCTAGAACAACAATGCATCTAACACTAGCTTTTCAGCCTCTGCTCTAAAGTATTTTAAAAAATACATTCAGAATTAGGTAGGACACTAGCTAGCCTGGCTTTCTGATAGAAATGTTTACTACAATGCAGATGTGTGTAAAGGATGGAACCGACCTCTAGGTGGAGACCCTTGTCTCCTCCTTAAAGGGTTAATCCAGGTGAGGACTAGGCTAGCTGACCCCTAGGAAGGTTGGTTCATCTTTGCTTTTCCTGTTCTGAATTCCCAGCCCCTAACATTGTCCTCACCAGCTAAGCTGCCTCGCGATGCCTGCAAGTCAGCCTGCCTTTCTTAGACCTATTTCTTCTAGTCTTTTTCAGATACTGACTAGAGGATGTTTTTTCAGACTCCAGAACTAATTCTTAGGCTTCCTTATTTTTTACAAAGCTCTCCTCCACAGGGCACTTGGCTGCGTGCCTCTGTGTGACAGACCTCCGCAAGGCCTTATCTCAGGCCAGCTGGGGTTTGTTCCTTCTCCGTTCTCCTCCTCCCATTGCAGGCTTAGGAGTTTGCCTGGAGTTTGCCTTTTAAAACTAATAAATTGTCCCCATGCTTTTGTTTGTGTCTATCCTTAAATTATTCTACTAACAAAACTAAGAACCCCAAGAACGGTCCCTGATTTCTCAGGTATTCTATAACAGCTCTGCGGGGTTCCCCAAGGTTTCAGTAACGGTCCTTTCCTGGCCTTTAATTCTTCCACTGACAGAGAAGACGAAGCTGTTCCTGTGACTGTGGACAGCATCAATACAACACAGCAGAGCTCAAGAGGGGGCACAGTCGAGAGCTAAACTGTGGGAGAGGACCAGCTGAAACGCTTGTTCTCCCAGGTTGACAAACCATGTACAGCTTGTACCGTTTCCTCTCCTCGTCCTGCAGCTGCAATCTTCTTCCATCTATTTCCTGTTGAGAATGTTTTACAAGTTTACACATTCTGATTACAAATGGGGATAGGCGCTCCCAGGACCCTATCCAGGACAGAGAGGTCTTCGTTATCATAAAAGAAATACGTTCATGTGGTCATAATATCCTCTATTCCCTTTGAAATGGCCCAAACAGAACACTACACAGTGGGCACGAACTTCAGATGTATTTAGCAGAGAACATGGGAAGGACAAGGCCAGAGATGGCTGCAGGACCTGATGTGGACACAGCACATACAATTTGTACCTCTTTGCTTGCAGAAACTCAGCAGAATGCAGTGTATTGGCTAAGTCCCTGGTCTCCCATTCTTGTTTTTGCTGTTGTATTGCTATAATTTCTCTTATAGATAAGTTGTAAAAGCAATGCTATATGCCTGTTATGTAGATTCCAAGACAAGTACATTCTGCCTCTCTTTTTTTTTAATTTTTCTTTTTTGGTTTTTCGAGACAAGGTTTACTCTGTAGCATTGGAGCCAGTCCTGGAACTAGCTCTTGTAGACCAGGGTGGTCTCGAACTCACAGAGATCTGCCTGCCTCTGCATCCCGAGTGCTGGGATTAAAGGCTTGCGCCACCACCCTCCTGGCTTAATTTTTCTTTCTGGATGAGGCAGGAAGGGTACACTAGGGACTCAACAGGATTTTTTTTGTTAGATGGAATCTCACTGTGTTGTCCTGGCTAGCCTTGAACTCACTACGTAGAGTTGCAGAATATTTTATAACACTGAGAACCCCAAGACTGAGTTATTTACTGAAAAAACCTGCTTCTAGCTGTGGTATGGCTCAACCCTAGCACATACCTTTAATCCAAGAGCTTTCTACTTGAATATTGTAAATAGGATTAAATGAAGCCAACCCCATAGGTCAAGAGGCAAAACAGCCAATCAGTTGACAGAAAAAAAAAAACTATAGAGAGTAAGAGGTGCTGGGCCTGGTCGCACAGGTTTGCAATTCCAGTTACAGAGAAGCAGGGCCATTACCCAAAGTCTGTGTCCTAGCAAAAAACTCCACCAACGCAGCTTAAAGCATACAGTATGCAGTTAAATTCTTTTTTTTAAAATAAATATCTTTATTTATATTGTATGAATGTTTTGCCTGCAAGTATATCTGCTTGCCATGTGCCTAGTCCCTTAGAAGAGGGAATCAGATCACCTGAAACTGGATGTAAGCGGTTGTGAGCCACTGTGTGGGTGCTGGGAATTAAACCTATGTCCTCTGTGAGAGCAACCAGTGCTCTTAACCGTTAGGCCATCTCTCCAGCCTCTTACAGTTAAAAATTCTACATTAAGTAATATCCAGGATGATGGTGTAAGCCTGTAATCCAAAATACTTGAAGGTCAAACAGACAGATTTTAAGTTTGAGGCCAGCTGGAGCCATCTAGCTCATTTTTTTTTTAATTAATAAATTATTCTGCTAGGAATAGAACCAGAATCAAAACCCAAATTGCAAATAAAAACAGAAAAATTCGGGTCGGGCGGTGGTGGTGCACGCCATTAATCCCAGCACTCGGGAGGCAGAGGCAGGCAGATCTCTGTGAGTTCGAGGCCAGCCTGGTCTACAAGAGCTAGTTCCAGGACAGGAACCAAAAAGCTACGGAGAAACCCTGTCTCGAAAATATATATATATAAAAAAAGAATTCTAGATGTGTTCATTCATTCATTTCAACTGGATAATTTTATAATATTCCATTAGGGTTGGCAAAGTCAAGTGAGTATGAACTCCGAGAGGTGGACAAGTGGTAAATCTTCACAACTGGGTGGCTTTGGGTGCTATTGAAACATTAAGGAATGGTTACTATGGAAACAACAAAGAGACACTCAGTCTGTCTGGTGGGTGTAGATCAGGGCAGATTTCTGGTAGAATGGAGTCTTCCTCATTAAAAAGAACAAGGAGCTTAAAGGCCTGGAGGCCAAGAACTCAGTGGTCCAGGTTGATAGAGATCTAACAGGACAGAGCACCTTCTAAAGACACTGGGGGCAGGGACAGCTCAGAGACACTCCCAGCTGCCAAACAGAAATGCCCCTGGCCACTCTGGGTGCTCTGGCAGCACTGCAGGAGTTCATTTTGCTTTTCCCAGGATGTGTGTGCATGCATGTCTGTGTGCGGATGCAAGCATGGTGATGTGGGAGTCCCCTCCGTATGCTGTGAATACCATTGGTTAATAAAGGAACTGCTTTGGGTCTATAGAAGGGCTATAGGGGAACAGAGCTAGGTGGGTAAAACTAAACTGAATGCTGGGAGAAATAAGGGTGGAGTCGGAGAGAAGCCATGTAGCTGCCACTGGAGACAGATGTGTTGAAACTTAGCTGGTAGGCCACAACCTTGTGGTGATGCACAGATTAATGGAGATGGATTAAATTGAGATGTAAGAGTTAGCAATAAGAATCTAGGGCTAATGAGCCAAGCAGTGATTTAAATAATACAGTTTCTGTGGGGTCATTTTGGGGCTAAGCGGTGGGAACCAACAAGCGGCGTGGGTGCCTCACAACCATGTAGTAGAGGTCAAAGGACAACCTTGGTGTTGGGTACCACCTTCTACCTGATCTGAGAGAGAGTCTCTTGTTCACCATTGTGGATGAAGGACTAGCTGGTCTTCGAGTCTGTGGGAGTTCTCCCTTCTCATCCCCCATCGTGAAGCAGGAGTGTTGGGAATACAAACACAAGCTACCACACCCAGCTTTGTGTGGGTTCTGGGGGAGCAGAACTCAAGTTCTCAGGCATGCAAAGCAACCATTTTTGCCCCCAGGCCATCTCTCTAGCACCTTTCCTTCCTTTCTTATGCCCCATTCCTAAAATTTATCTTTCCATGACTATCGATGCTTCTTATTTCAATCTAATATTATGTCCTCTTATAAGTCTTCATTGACTCCCACCCCACCCCCAACTTCCAAAGGTTCTGAAGATGCTTCTGCTCCATATACTATGGCCTCTCAAATTTCCCCAGGCTTCGTAGCTGTAGGCATTGTATTGTGTGTTAAATTGTTTGTCTTCTCTGATATTAAGGCAGTAGTAAACTTGGAGTGTTTTTCATTGTATTTTTTTTCTTTTTTTGTTTGTTTTGTTTTGTTTTGTTTTGGGGGGGGGGCTGCTTGGGAAGAAGCCCAGGACCTCAAGCTCACTAAGCACCTGTTCTGTTAGCGCTCTACACATCAGTTCTAAACTCAGGAGGTTATTAATCTGTCCAAGGGATGTGGAGAATGAGAGTAAATACTCAATTTATTGTAGGTTCCATCCATGACAAATTCAATAACTTCTCAGTAGTTTTCCCTAAAGCAATACGTGGTTCCAAGAAAGACCACAAACTGGGACCACCTAAGGAAATTCCTAAAGTTCCAATCACCCTAGATAGGATCACCTGCCAGCACACAGCCGGCACCTTTCACCAGGACACTCCTGACAAACATCAGCCAATCTGGGGTCCTACACCTGAGAAATCCCTCACCCCCCACCTTTGCTACTATGAAAACCCAACCCCAATTGAGCACTGGGCTCTCCAATCACTCCAATACGTTGGACACACGAAGAGTCTGAGTTTGCAAAGTTGTATAAAAATAAAGACTCTTTGCTTTTTACATACAGGACTCGGTCTCCTACCTGGTTTTGGGGGAACTCCGTGATCTGGACATAACACTTACAAAGTATAACTCAGAGCAGCACCTCTACTGCAAGACCAACATGGCTGTCTCATTGGCTCTCATGAATCCCCAGATCCATCCACCCTCCAGCCACAGAATTCTACTCTTCTAGGTGCTCCCTTTATCGCCTTCCCCTCATTTCCATGAGCAAATCCTGTCTTTATGAGCAAATCCTGTCTTTCGCATCTGCTCCCAGACAGACACATCCAGAGCCCAGTACCTCCTTCCCGTTTCCTGTTTGACCACCCAGGGCTGGGCCATCATCTCTCTCACCTGAGGAACCGTCTTAGGGGTTGGAGGTGGTCTGCCTGTGCTCCCCACAACAATCCCACTGAAACCAAACGGATAGTGGGCTACTTCTCAAATTCTTCCAGGGCTCTTTCTCACTTCATTCTGGACACAAGATTGCGACCTGGTCTCTGCTTCTACCCCCGCCCCCAGAACCATGCCATCTGCAGGTGGGACAATCATTCTAGACACAGGATTACACCCCTGTCTCTGTTTCTGCCCTTGCCCCCAGCACCAGCCGTCTGAATGCTGGGCAATCATTCTAGACACAGGATTGCGCCCCCCGTCTCTGTACCCTCCCCAGCACCATGCCCTCTGCAGGTGGGACAATCATTCTAGACACAGGATTGCGCCTCTGTTTCTACCCCTACCCCCAGCACCACGCTGTCTGCAGGCTGGGAAATCATCCTATCCTCCCAGTTACATCCCTAGCCTATTGACATCTCCGGAATACAATGCATTCATTTCCGTCTCAGGACTTCTCTGTTTGCTGTATCTCCCCCCACATACCATAACTGCTTTCCTATTTCTTACTGCTCAAACTCTTAATTTTTCTCTGATTATATTATGATTACTATAAACTATGTTTATTCCGAATGAAACAAAGCCCCTCCTCCTATGATCTCCTCATCCCAACTCCAAAACTCTTCTTTCGGGGGTGGGGAGATGACAAGGTCTCACTGTGTAGTCCTGGAACTCACTCTGTAGACCAGGCTGGTCTGGAACTCCCAGAGATCCGCCTGCCTTCTGCACACCTGGTGGACTAATTTCTTTGCCATTATCACTATCTGGCTAGATATAATTAAAATTCATATTTCATCTATTGTGTGTGCATGGGTGTGGATGCACCATAGAACATGCATGGAGATCAGAGAACAGCTTGAAGAAGCTCGTTCTCTCTTTCTACCAAGTATGTCCTGCCTGAGGACTGAACTCAGGTTGTCAGACTTGGTGACAAGCATCTTTACTGGCCATCCCACAGGTAAATATTTTTTTTATTTATTTCTTTATTATATATACAGTATTCTTCCTGCGGGCCTCATTACAGATGGTTGTGAGCCACCATGTGGTTGCTGGGAATTGAACTCA